ATATATATATATATATATAAGTTTCTGATTTTTGAAATGTAAAAATTGTTTTATTATTTTTGAAGTAGGGTAAAGAAAAAGTAGGGAAAGTGAATTTTTCACTTATTTGATATCTTCAACCATTTCTCTTTTTTTACAAGTGTGCTACCATGGCCCATAAAATTGTAATGCCAAAAAAATAAAAATAAAATCAACTATTTAACTTATTTTAAAAGTAAAAAGGTATCAATAACCAGATATAAAAATAAAATCTATGTTTATCAACTCCGGACTACGTCTCAATTTTCTATTAAACTGCTCAATGGATCGAGTTTTATCACAACTTATATCATGAGTATTGACACATAATATTAAACATATTATACAACAATTTATTTACTTTAACTCCCCATTCTATTCTCGTGATAAAAATAGAACATCAATTTTTATAGAGTTTTGTCATTCGTTCAGAGTCACGTGGACTTTGGATAAATGGGGAGCGCCACATGCTCCCTTGACGTGGCCCTATCTCTCTAACAAAACTTATTTTTATATATTTTATCCCTTTCCAATAAATATATAATCACCCAAAAATGAGAATTAAAAAATCTTCACACTCTATGAATAAGTAGTCCTTTTACAATAAATCAAAGTGAAAATATAGCTCGTCTAAGCCCACGTATAATATTGAGTCAAATTACTGAATTTGACCAACTCCACAAGCCGTTTACATCGTTAAAACTTCCTAAAGAAATAAAACCCCAAAATCTCTTTTCACAATAGGATTAGGTGCGTTAACCCTACCCATCAACCCCTTCTTTACACATGCATACCCCTTATCCATCTCCCATTTACATGCTCTTTCCCCTCTCCAGGAGCGGAGCCCAATGAGGTCTAGGGCACAGGGCCACACTAAACTTATGGGCCCAACCCCATGGCCCAGATTTTTTTTTTAATTAAGATGCCAACTTCCAGCCCAAGGGTGAAGCCCAAAATCATTACCAATACACACTACTAGGGGTGGGCAAAATCCGACCGAACCCGCCAAAATTGCCCAAATCGAACCAACTCGACCGGTTTGGATTGTTTTTTTGTTATTTTTACACGACTTGGTGGGTTGGTTGTGTAAGCGGGTTGAGTTATGGGTTAACTCATGAAAACTGAATAAACCCGTCCAACCCAACCCGCCTACATTAAAAAAAAAAGAAATAAAATAAAATGCCTAAAAAGTAAAAGGAACATAAAAAGTATGAATGGATAGTATAACTATAATTACCTTGATGCATTTTAGAGGATGAGCTTATTGTCCTTCCCACAAGAAATGTAGCATAAGTTTTTCATGTTATGTTAAANTAAGTTTTCCATGTTATGTTAAATGCACTTTGTTCTTTGTAGGCTCGACTTATGAGAATTGAATAAGATAATAGATAATTTTATTTAATTATTTATTTACTTACTATTTAATTTTGTCTATTCGAATTTAGTATAATAGAAAATTAGACGACTTTAATTTTTGTTGACAAGTTGTCCCAAACCGACCAACCCAACCCAACCCAACTCGACCGATACTTGATTGGGTTGGGTTGGGTTTCAACCTTTAAGCGAGTTGGGTTGGGTTGGGTTAAATTTTGATCAAACCAATCATGTTGGGTTGTGTTGGGTTGAAGTAAAAATCGACCAAACCCAACCCATGCCCACTCATACACACTACCCTAACGTAAACGGCCCAAGACCACTACCCAACCCAATCCATTTAATTCAAAACATCAAGAATCATGTTGAAGTGTACCTCACGAAATACTGATTGTGGCAATTGCTGGAATAATAATTATATACTGAGTTCTTTTATGGCTATACTGAACTTATGAAATGTAGTCTGGCCTGTATCTCTTAATTGATTCAAGGATGGGGCTGCAAAAAAAATATCCTTCCAATTTCAATTCGGGATGTGGAAATTGTGCCCACACTCAGTTACTTTCCTGGCTCTGCCCCTACCCCTCTCCTGCCTTCAATTCTTTTATTTTCCCTACTATATCTCTCTGTCACTATCTTTCTACACACATCTCATCATTTTTTTCCACACTTCTTGGTTTCTCTCCATTCCATTCATTTTTCACCAGTTAAATCTTTTTTTCTCCTCATTCTCTTCCAATTGATATGGTGATAGAATTAGAATGATGCTTGCGAAAACCAACAGTATACATTAAAGAATTGGTAACATGATTCGTTCTAATCCAAACATGTCCACTTCCAGCGTAGCCGATGAAGATTTTGCTAATCGGAACAACAGTTTCTTCGTTTACAACCCCAATCGCCTCTCCGGAGAAGGCTTCCCTATGATGATGTCCCCTTGTAACCAATCCTTTTTGCCTTTTACAAAATCTTCTTGGTCTAATTTCAGTGACACTGCATCTCAGAAGATTCCTCAGAATGGCCTAATTGGTTCACTTATTCGTAAAGAAGGCCATATTTATTCTTGGCTGCCAAGAATGACATTCTTTATACTGGTTCGACAGCAAGAACATTCGTGTTTGGAAGAACCTGAAAGAATTTACTGCGTTCAAATCCAATAGTGGCCTTGTTAAGGCGATTATTATATCAGTGGACAAGATTTTTACTGACATCAAGATGGCAAAATTCGAGTTTGGAAGATTAATCCCAAGAATCCAAGCGTTCATAAACATGTGGGAACTTTTCCCACCTTTTTCGACATTTTTAAAGCTTCGATTAGACCAAGCAGCTATGTCGAAGTGATGAGAATCCGAACTGAACTTTGAATCAAACACGCCGATGCTATTTCTTGCTTGAGCATCGATCAGGAAGAAGGGCTTCTGTACTTTACTTCTTGGGATATGACATTTAAGGTTTGGATAATTGGGAATTCTAAGTGTATTGAATCTGTTAAAGCCCATGATGATGCCGTAAACTCGATGGTGGCGAGCGTTGATGGGATGGTTTATACCGACTCAGCCGATAGGATGGTGAAAGTCTAGAAATGGAACAAAATGGTAAGGTCATAAGGCATGCTCCAGTGCAGACTCTTTTGAGCCAAGAATGTTACCGCATTGGCAGTTAACAACTCGAGTTCGGTCATGTAGTGCGGGTCATCGGATGGACTCGTGAACTTTTGGGAGCGCGAAAAGAAGTTGTCCCACATGTTGACCTATGGTTGTTTATAAGTTTTGATTATAACAAACAACTTAATATTGTTTACTAACAAGTTAAATTCAAGTGATCATAGTTCTTCAAAGCATGCTATGAAAAGTTGATCGATGATCGTCAAGAGATCAAAAGTTATCAGACTCATGAAGGAGGTCAAGATTGAAGAACTTAAAAGAAAAATTTCGGAGCAAGATCATAGACTTGATTTCTTAGATAAAATGCAAAGGTACTAATACTTTGGTATTTGGCAATGAATACTTAAGCTCAAATCTTCCTATGCATTAAAAATATTTTTTGCATTAAAAGTCAAAGCTTACGTTATAAAACTATTTATGTTTTTACTGAAAATTTTTCTTATTTTGACTTGAAAAATATATTTTTATCTTGAAAAGTTAGTTAATAATATATTCCAAAAGTCCTTACCTTTTAAAACCTTCAAATCGGGTCAAGCGGAGCCAAAACGCAAAAAGTTTGGAAACTGCTGGTGGTCAACTGGCAGGGAGAGGCGGTCGACCGAAAAATGCCAACGGTCCAAAATTTAACCTTCTGACATCTGATTTTTACTATACAAATGGCTATTTTGATCGATCGAACTAGGGGCGGTCAACAGACGTGGAGAGCCAGTCGATCGAAAAATGCCAACGGTCCAAAATTTAACCATTATGACCTCTCGTTTTTACTGTACAAACGGCTATTTTGACAGATCGGACCAGGGGTGATCGACCGGAGGAGTCATCCGTAATTACAGAATTTTTGACGATTTAAACTCTATAAATACCCACACTTCTTGCATTTATAACACAATTCTTATAGAGCATTAAAGTGAGAAACATTTGCACAAAACCCTTTGAGCTACATCTTATTTAATTCTTTATACATTCACTTTGAAAATTCTTGATTTATTGAATCAACTTTTGAAAATAATCTTTTTCATCAAAAGTTTTCTTATCTAACACTTGAGCTTTATTCATTGTTATTTATTAAAGTGTTAGCATACTTCTCTTCTTGTACTCAACTTTGAATTGAAAAACTTTTTATTGATCTTAACTTTGAAAATCATTTCATTCATCAATTTTTTTCAAATCTAACTCTTGAGTTTTATTCATTGCTATCTATTTAAGTGTTAGCCTACTTCTCTTCTTGTACTCAACTTTGAATAGATCATTTATTGTAAGAAAAGTTCTCAATTGTAAAACTTTTTACTTGTGGGTCTTGTTAAGGTTCCATAAAGCTCAACGTTGTATAAGAATTGATACTTCTCATTTGTAAGTCATCGGAAGCGTTGTAAAGGGTTGGATTGCACCATAAGTCAAATATATCATTTGCATCCTCTCTTCCTTTTACTTAGGGTCCGTTTGATTGCAAATGTGAAAAATTGGTGGAAATAAAATGTTTTATAGGGAATAGAATTGTCTAGAAATTAATTCATTTGGAATTGTAATTAATTGTGTTTGATTGGTATAATTTTACATGGAAAATATTGAATTGAATTCTTGGACTTTGTAAATTTGAATATAATTTGTCAAGATATATATAAGTTATTGCAATAGAATATACAATATTGTTCAATGTCCTAGTGGTGTGAGTTGCATCTTTTTTCCATAGAGGTTAAAGGGTCAAAACCTTAAACCTTCAAAAAATTCTTCATTTATTTGGTTATACAAGGAAGGGTAAAATAGACATTTGAGATTTTTAAATAATTAATTTTTTTTCCTTTTAAAAAATTTTGGTCAAAGGCCATCTAAACAAAAACTTGTTGAGGTGTGGCTATTCCAACTCATTCCCCGTTATCAAAGCATCGGACCTAATTTTCAATGCATGGCGTGGAGCGCTCATGCTGCTGCAATTCAATTCCCTCAGCAAACGTGTAATAAAATGAGCATTAAATTTTGACGAATGACTTAGCCCTTGTTTGGCCCCCATTAAATTACATTACATTACATTAAATTTTTCTTTCTCTTCATTTCAATAACACATTCATCAAATAAAATAATATTACACACAAATCAAAAAAATTTCAACCATACATTCTCCTATCAATCACTATTCTAAAAATTTTTAACCTCCAAAAATGCAAAATAATGAGGGCCAAACAGCGGCTTAAAATACAATCAAGACTATCATTTCTGGGGAACAGTTAATTAAATTGTATATATACCATAACAAAATGTGTTAATTAGCTCAGTAATGGATAATTACAAAATGACCAGTGGTGAGAGAAAATGGAATCTAGCTTTCTCTTAGGGTCCATTTGATTGCAAATGTGAAAAATTGGTGGAAATAAAATGTTTTACAGGAAATTGATTTGTCTAAAGATTATTTTACTGAGAATTATAATTAACTGTGTTTGATTGATATAATTTTTCATGGAAAATATTAAAACTTTGGTGTCTGTTTCGCTTCGTTTTTATGGAAATTGTCCATTAAAATAATACTTTTTTTTACCATTAGGTCTAGAATTTGTTCTTAAAAAAAATTTATCATATCGAATATCATTCGTTTGACTTTGTTTTGCATGAAAATTGTCAATAAAAGTGATAAATTTTTTTACCATTGTATCTAGACTTTTTTCCAATTGCAAAAAAAAAAAAAAAAATGGAAATTTTTTTCCCACCAAACATCAAGAATTTATTTTCCTTAAAATGGTGGAAAATGAGAAAAGGTGAAAAAAAAATTCCCAGGAAAATTTTGCCTATCAAATACTACAAAAGTTGGATTTTCCATGGAAAATATAGCGAATCAAACGGAGCCTATTGCTTTTATATTTGAGCTTATTATTTGAATTTATCTATTTAGTCTTTAATTGCTTGAATTTAGGTTAATTTACCGATTTTACATTTTGCTCATTACTTGATCTTATTTGGTTCTGTACTTGTGCGTATTTGTTTAATTGTTTCGTTGACTATTACATTAAAACCTGAATTAATTTTCGAAAAAGTTTTAAAAATCAATTTACCCCTCTTGATTAGTCACTTTCGGGCTTTCACCACGGCGGGGTGCTCAAGGGGCACAAACTAGATGTACTCTGCCTTTATGTGGCAGGAAATATGGTGTTCAATGGATCAGCTGACAAAACTATATGTGTGTGGCGATGGGAGGCGGTCATGCACACTTGTCTCTCGATCTTAACCGGTCACACTAGGCCAGTTAAGTGTCTTGCGGTTGAAGAGGACAAGGAATCATAAAAAATGGGTCGTCTATACTGGAAATCTTGATAAATCTGTCAAGGTATGGAATGTGTGAAGTACGGAAAATTAAAACTTTTTCTGACTTATTGGAAGTCCACGCCTAGCATAAATAACCACACATGGACTTGGGGGACTATTGTTACGGGTCATAGATGGAAGCGATACGTGGTACCATATTTTAGCAGTGGGATCAGCTTAATTAAATCAGGGTATATTTTCCTAGCCTCAGACGTGGGTTCCGAGGCCATCGCCGTTGTTCCGAGGCCACTGCAGTTAACTATAAAGCACGCTTCGGTGAACATGCACTATCCGAGACTCCCTTGCAGCTACTGAAGACCCCACGCATGAAGATCCACTCATGATGAAAATCTTTATGTNGCGTGAAGATCCACTCATGATGAAAATTTTTATGTGAATGATTGACGTGACTCTTATGTAAATTTTATTTGTGTCTTGTCTTATCAATGTAAGAGCATTTAATGCTTTGTAAGACTAGGAAAGCCAACTTGATAACTAGGACTTGATGTCTTGGTTGAGGAGATGAGGCCACGTGTAAATTGATCTAAAGGTCGTTATTTATCTTGTAACACTATAAATACCCCCACCATGTAACATAGAAGGGGCAAATGCGAATTCTGAAGAAAAAAGTAGTGTTTGGAGCAATATCTCTCATTTCAACAGTAATCTTTACAACATATTTTCTACTACGCATTGTTCTTTATCGATTGGTTTCTTATACAATCGTGTTACATTTTCTT